GATTATGACTTCAACATATGAATTTGGGAACATACAATTCAGCCCATAACTAACACATCTTTTCATAGGGAGCTAACAGGGAGGAGTTCTCCTGAGGATGACCTCATTTAACAGTCCCCAAATCACAGCCCTGTAACTACAGCTCTGAGGCGCTCTGAGGTATCAAAAGGAATGAAACATATCCATACAAAGAATCATAAATTTAAGAATCAAACAAATGTCTCTAACAACTGTTTGATAAAGCCCCAAACTAGAAACAACTCAAATATCTGAAACAGATGAGTAAATAAACAAATAGTGGACAGAACATTACATTTCTTGACACATTAAAAGAATGAACTAATTACACAGACCCACTGACAAATCTCAAAATAAATATACCAGACGAGAACACCCAGAGGGGAAAAAAAACTAAACATTTTATTTTCAATCATGTAAAATTACATTAAATACATATGAATCTATTGTAGAAGAAACTAAATCAATGTTTGCCTGGAGGGCAGAGAGAAGGAGATAATAATTAAAGGACATGAGTGAACGTGGGGTGATGCATATGCACACTGTTACGATTTATGATGATGGTTTCATGGGTTTATATGAATGTCAACACTCATCAAATGGTACAGTTTAAATATGGACAATTTATTATTTATTAACCATACCAAAAAGGCATTAACGATATAATAAAAAAAATTCTGTTTTCAAAAAACAAAGTTTGGCAAACCTGTATTGATCCCACCATATCCCTTGTAATGCCCTGGGATCAGCACCTTGCCTCAGTGGCAGCCAATACAGGTGAGCAATGAAAGCCATTTCCACCTGAGTCATCAGGAATGCAGGCTGCATAAAGCCTGCATTTCTGGACTGAGATCTTCCTTCTTTCTTTGTTTTCCTTCCTGTGCAACAAAGGCCTTACGGTGAACAATGCAGAGAAACTACAGGAATCCACAAAACTGTTAGATTCCTTTTCTTATAGAGAGAGCACACGTGAGAGAGTGTGAACGTGGTGGTGGTGGGGGAGTGTGTGCACAGGGAGGAGAGAGGATCCCAAGCAGGTTCTGCACTGAGGCTATATCTGTATGCAGGGCTTGATCTCACAACCCCGAGATCATGACCTGAGTCAAAACCAAGAGTCGGACGCTTAACCAACCTGAGCCACCCAGGCGCCCCCCCATTAGATTATTTTCTGACGAGGCCCTCAGCTGCACAAGATTCACAGTTCAGAAAGATCTGAGAATTTCCGTACTTGCTCATCCTTCACAGCCATACTGACTAGAACAATGGCAGGTGCCCTTTTAAAAGAGGCACATTCCAACCAGTTTGTTGCAGTCTCTTGCCCTCTCTGTTAATCCACCGTCTGTGTACAATTATGACTCCCCCTATAATCTTTCAGCCAGTGACACTACCACACCGAATTCTGGGCATTAGGGTACCTCTCTCCTTTGCAAGACCTGGGAACAGATTTCCTGCACCGGTGCTGAGCACAATGCAACATCCCCTGCAAAGAAGAGAACAACTTTATGTTGTTCCCAGAAGTACTGGAGGTTGTCACAACTGCCCCCTCTTCAAGGTGAGCGCTGACAGCACGAAACGTCCTGGCATCCAGGCTACAATTTAACCACAAAACCCTACATAATTTCCTTAGAGGCCTTAGGCAACAATGCAAACAAGGCCCAAACTAGAGAGAGGACTACCATCCTTCTATCCCCCTGAAGCACACAAAGATTGGGGTGCCCATGGCAGCTGTTTCTCCTGTCATTCTGAAACCACCCCATAAAGTGAATCTAAGCCTCAAGATAAAGATGACTTACACAATAAGGCCTTTGTTACAGCACAAACCAGAATAATAGAGGAAGGCTGTTCCTCGGTTAGTGACTTGGAGGCTGGGAAATTCCATCACAAGAATTACCAGACCAATATCCCTAAAAAAGATGACTTTTCAGGTCACAGGCAGAACTCAGATGGAGTCCTCTGGAACACAACGGGGTCATCCATGCCCTACTAATCAGAGAGAAAAAAATGAGTACTCTGGCTTCTCACATTCACCCAGTGAATGGGAAAACACCAAGGTTTACTTTGCTGAACACATCAGAGCAGATAAATGATATACATATGGGCACCTGCAGGTGGGAGAGGTGAATGGCTGCTGCTACAGAATCAACAGTAATAAAAATTCACACGGGCCCAAGCTGAAACATGCAACACAGCTCCACATACCTGGAATTTATTTTGATGTTTGGATGTATGAGGCGCAATTCAGGCAGATGGCATCCTCAAAAGAGATCTCCTCGAGTGTTGTTATACTGAACAAGGAAATACATTTGCTACATATCTAAGTTGTTTCTCCCATGTGAATTTTGTGGTAATCAATGAGGTAAGGGCTTCGGCTAATGGCTTTCTCATTCAAGATATTTATAATGCCCAATCCAGTATGAACTCTCTGGTGTCGAGTGAGGCCAGAGCTTTTACTAAAGGATTTCCCACACTGGTTACACTTATACGGCCTTTCTCCAGTGTGAACTCTCCGATGGTCACTGAAGTTGGAGCTTCGCCTAAAGGACTTCCCACACTCATTGCACTCATATGGCCTTTCTCCAGTGTGAACTCTCTGGTGTTTAAGGAGCGCAGAGCTTTGGCTAAAAGATTTTCCACATTTGCTGCACTCATAAGGCCTTTCTCCAGTGTGAACTCTCAGATGTAGAACGAGGCTGCAATTCTGGCTAAAAGATTTCCTACATTCACTGCACTCATAAGGCTTTGACCCTGTGTGGACTTTCTGGTGTTTTAAAAGACTGGAATTGTAGGTAAAGGATTTCCCACATTCACTGCACTCATAGGGCCGTTCTCCGGTGTGAACGGTATGGTGTTGCAGGAGCGCAGAGCTTTGATTAAAGGACTTCCCACACTCACTGCACTCATAAGGCTTTTCTCCAGTGTGAATTCTCCGATGTTGAATGAGGTTGGATCTTTGACTGAAGGATTTGCCACATTCTCCACACTCAAATGGCCTTTCTCCAGTGTGAACTTTCCGATGGTTATTGAGGCTGTAGCTTTGGCTAAAAGATTTCCCACATTCACTGCACTCGTAAGGCCTTTCTCCAGTGTGAACTCTCCGATGTTGAAAGAGGTTGGAGCTCTGGCTAAAGGATTTTCCACACTCCCCACACTCATAAGGCCTTTCTCCTGTGTGAACTCTCTGGTGTTTAATAAGGCTAGAGTTATGGCTAAAAGATTTCCCACATTCACTGCACATGTAACATCTTTCTCCAGGGCGGACTCTCTGGTGATGAACAAATGTGTGCTTGTGGCTGAAAGCTTCTATGTTGTCTCCCCAGCGGTGTTGAGTTTTTCCCTTGTGGAAGGCTGCCCCACATTCAGTTGCATTGTTTGACTTCTCTCCAGTCTGTGTGGCCTGTTGCTGGAGGAATCCTGAGCTGGCCAAGAAATCCTTCCCAACCTCCCCACAGATAAAGGGCTTCCCTGACACTTGCAATCTGCAGCTCTTGATCACTGAAGCTCTGCTTACATTGTTACCGAAGGGCTTATCGCTCACATGCTGCTTCTGCTGCTGCTGAAGGTTTTCACTGAAACAGAATCTTTTCCCATGTGTCCCACCAGTGTACACTTTCTCATTGAATTGTGTTTCCTGGTGCTCAGCCGAGTGAAAACTGTCTTTCAAGACTGGACCACACACCTCATAGGGGTTGGCCTTCTGGGGAAAAAGACCTGTCTTGGGAGTCCTGACATGTGACACTACAGAAACGCTCTGCTCAGACGGTGCCTCCTCATCCTCTGCTCCATGCCAACAACCTGAAAGCAGGAAATGCTGGTGAAGTGCACGGTGACTTTCGTGGGTAGGCAGCTGCTACCCAAGCATGTCTAATAAACCCAGAAATGAGTGCATGAGACTGTTCATAGGATAAGAGGTCTGAGTTCAGGCTGAGGATGAGGCTGCTTAGCAGGGCTGGGCTCACAAAATGGGGGTTCAGGGGCACTTATGAGGTGAAATAAACACACTGAAAAGAGACAAAGTCTACACATAACTTTCAACAGGACCTAGTCTGCCATGCAGAAGGGTGTGTTCAGGCCCAGGAAAATTCAACAGTGAAAGAGAGCCTGGTGTTCAAGGACTGTTTAACAATCTGTGTTCACCTCATGACACAACACATAGGAGCCAAGGAGGACAGTACCCCACATGGGACAGTGACTAAAATGGTCAAGATGTGGAGTTCAGAGAGGTGTAGATTAGCCCTGGGCAGGAAGTAAGAGTACAAGTGATGAACAGCAGTTGACCAGTCACCTGAGTGTAAAGACTGGGGAAGGAAAGGCAGGTATGAAGTGCGGGGGCCACTGTCATTACCAACAAAAGACCAGTCATGTGGAATAAGTTTCTGGTATGATGTATACACAGCCCTGAGGTCATGCCTCCCCCAGGTGTCACTGTTCAGAGCCAGGCTGTGAACCACAACACACTCTCCACAACCCCGAGATGAGCAACTATGTGGCACCTGGATGATGCAAGTATAAATAAGGGAAAGACAGGAGAGATAGGTGGCCAGCACTGGCCAAGAACAGCTCAGCACATGCAGCGCACAGGAAAGAAAACTATTATAAAGAAGACTTCCAAGAAGGATCTTGCAAGAACAGACCGTGGTCTATATTACAGTGATGGTCAGTGATGGCAATTTCTAGCACAAGAAGGAATGAGGAAATGTCAGCTAGAGAAAGAAAGTGGAACCTGGGATACTCGGGTGCTTTGTAACTGCAAGTCACCTGGCAGGGAGAGGGCAAGCAAAGTGGGATCCACTGGGCTGAATGGAACAGTCCAGACCCTGGTTCCTTCCCTGAGAGGCTTAGGAGTAGCAGGTGTTGGGGCTGCTCAAGGAGAAGGCAGTGCACATACCTCACCAGCCAACCACACTGCCTATTCAAGGACGTGGGGAAGGAAGCAGAGACCATGATCCTGATGGGAGAATAGATCTGCCCTTGGGGAAAAAGGGAAAGGGAGAGACTAGCTCAGGGTACAGAGGCGGGTGTGAGGACCTTACCCAGGGAGGTTATAAGCGCCCAGTTCTCCAGCATCACATCCTGGTACAGGCGTCTCTGTGCCTCATCAAGAAGATCCCACTCCTCCCAGGAGAAGGACACAGCAATGTCCTCAAAGGTCACAGTGCCCTGGCAAGATGGAGACAGACGAAACCATAAACAGCCTCTCCCTCATAGATGACAATCCATCTCCACATCTACCCCTCACCCATCCTCCTCCTAAGCATCCAACACAGAAGAGAAACCAGGCCCTAGCACCGCAAGTGCAACTGTCTCCTCACAGGTCCATTGATCATGGGCACCAGCCATCAGTAAGATGAGGCAGGTGGATAAAAAGGTACAAAACAAGGCTCTGGCACAGAGGCATTCACCCATTTCTGCTAAGCAATTCCCCTAATACGGACAAACCATGCAATTCCCAATCCCAGGGCCCTAGGGCCTCAGGCATCCTCCCTCTACAAGCACACATCATTCCTTAGCTGGCACATCCCCACATTGTAGACACTGCCACATGCCCACGGCTGCCACCAGCTTACGGCCCTGCATACCTTAGGCAACTCTCTGGCCTTACAATTACGTATGACTGTATTTCAATCACCTGCTCTTCACGCCACTGGTGAGGATGGGAATCGGCTGTGTGCTAGGGTTAGGGGGATGGCCAAACACAGAACACCTAACACTGGACAGATGAGACTGACAGCACTCTTCTAACCATATATATTCACAGTCTGAGAGAGGACACCACACGCCACACAGGGCCACAGCGGGGTGGCACTCTGGGAAAGAGTGAACAGATGGTGGTTGTGAGATCCAAGATTTGTAATAGCAATACAAAGAGGTACCCGTTTCCCCTGGGAAGATGCCACTGACTTATCTCAGTAACTCCACGAGCAGGCAGGGAACTGAAACCAACTACAGAGGGATAAGCAGGAACTGCTCCTGATCACCTCGATAAAAACATTGTTTGGTTAGGAGATCTTATTTCTGGGAGCAGAGTGGGGAGCAGAAGTAGCACTCTGGCCATCGGAGGCCCTCATGGTTTCCACACATCAGTGCTGCATGTAATATTGGCTCTTAATTTTATTTTTTTTTAAACTTTTTTTTTTAAGATTTTATTCATTTATTTATTAGAGAGCGAGCGAGAAAGAAACAGCATGAGAGGGGAGAGGGTCAGAGGGAGAAGCAGGCTCCCCACTGAGCCGGGAGCCCGAAACGGGACTCGATCCCAGGACCCTGGGATCATGACCTGAGCCAAAGGCAGACGCATAACCAACTGAGCCACCCAGGCGCCCAGCTCTTAATTTTACACCTTGCACCACAACCTGAATACAGCATCCATAGGATCCTTTGCAAATTCAAACAGGATTGAACACTGCTACTGACTTCCCAGGACGCCCACTAAACGTCGCAGCCCCAAATCCACCTGCGAAGCCTTCACTGCTTGGGTCTGTTCCTTGCCTCAGACGTATGGATCTCAGATACCCATGGCCCTATTCCACAAGGTGCTGTGCTTGCTGTCCCCAAAGCAATCACAACCTTCCTCTGTCCACCTAACCCTCATCAAAGCCCAGCTCCATCAGTGGTCCACCCCAGGCCTTAGTGACTCTCACAAATGACCACATTTGCCCTTGACCTTATCCTCCTGCCTGAATGAAACAGCCCAGACCCCAACAAAGTCCTCAAAAAATCCTGGTGAGTGCACAGAATGGTGATTAAACACCCACTCCGGTCTGCGTGACATCTTGCCTCGGTTATCCCTTCCCTCCGTGTCCACCTCATTCATGTCCACCCTTGCATTGGAAGCCTTGGCCACCTGCCAGACTATCCCGTCCCTGACACACACTCCTTTCAGGGCCATGTACCTGCCTCGTTTGTTTGTGAAGCCTCAACCCATCACCTAGGTACCCAGGCAAGAGACCCAGTCCACAGTCCCCATCCTCCCCTACCTGGCCCCTAATAGCTTTACAATCATAACCTGTTGATTACCCCTCCTAATCGTGAACATCCTGAACCCTCCATCCTGAACCTTCCCCAGATTCCCAGACCTATGTGTACAACTGCCTACATCATACATCCATTCAGTGGTCTCTGAAACACCCCAGACTCTCAATATACCTAAATCAAAGCTCCTAACAACACCCCCACAGTGAGTATTACTACTACATTCTTCATCTCAGATAATGGACCTTCCACTCCTACAGCTGCTGAGACCTAACACACTGGGGTCATCCCTGAGTCCTGTATTTCACTCCTTCTCCTGCATCAGAGAATCTAGTTGCCCATTTAAAACATGCATTACCTTTCTTAAGCCACAACTCTGGTCCATTAACTCTCACTTGGGCTTTGGCAGTAGCTGCAGCCCGATCTTCCTTCCTTCTCCCCTGGTCTCACAGTCTGTTCTACACTCTGCAGCCAGACAGAGTCTGGTAAGATCTTGTTAAGATCACTTTCTGCCTCTGAGTCACACCTCCCCATCACCTCCAGAATACACACCCAACTTCTCAGTCATTCCAGTCTTGATTCCTGGCCCCCTGCTCTTTGTTCCCACCTAAAAGGACACCTGTGGTTTTCTGAACACTCAGTTCAGTTACACTTCTAAGCTTCTGCATATCTTGGAACCTGTTCCTAGTACATCGGTTGCCAGAAATGGGAACATTTCTATATAAAGCCTTACATGGACTTAGGACCCTCTGCGTAGGATTTCCCCAGGGCCCCCAGACCCAGGCCTGGGGGAATGACACTTAAGAGCCCCAGGACACCATAATCCAGAGAATATGTGCGTGGTGGCCAGGGCCAGTGAGGGGCTGAGACACCCTCCACCAACCTGTGTTAAGTTCCACGGTACCTCTGCCGCAATGGGAATCTGTGCAGAGGCTGGCAATGGAGGAACGGGGCCATGGCAGGGTTCGTTGGGCTCATGTTACCCGTACCCTTCCCTGGCCCTGGAGTCAGGTGACCTTACGATGGCTGTCTAACCGCTGTGCCTCAATGCTGTGTCCCCTCTTGCCAACCGTGCCACCTGAACTAAGATCCAACCTCCCAAGGCCTCAACGTCCTCTTCATTGCCCTCCGGTCTGCTCTTCCTTTGAACCGCCTTCGGAAAACTTTGAAATCCCAAACGGAGATCGGGTCCCTCGTTTGGCCAAAAGTCCCCTTGGCGTCTAGAGTCCTCTAGACCTGAAGGTACCGCACCTCACCTCGGCCCGCCAGTCCAGGCGTGACCCCCCTCACGCTCTCTGTCCCCCGAAGACAGAATCCTCCCGCCTCAGCCCCCCTCCAGCCTCTGCCCCGGCCGCCCTCGGCCCGGAGCCCGCTCCCGCACGGGGCCCCCGCCCGCCGCCGCCTCCCTGTCCCGGACGCCGGGGCCTGGGCC